TGAGGGGGAAAATTATAGCTATATCCTCATATGAGAAGAAAACTAGAGAACAAAAACTCAGAAAATTAGAAGAGGATCTGAAAAGACTACAGAGAGAACATGCAAAGTCCCCCAGGGATGACACCAGCAAACAAGAGATTGTAAAACTAAAAAAAGAAATAGATGAAATAAATACGCTGGAAATCCAAAAAAAGCTCCTTTTTACAAAGCAACAATACTACGAGGTAGGTGGAAAATCATTGAAACTGCTCTCATATAGGCTAAGAAAACAACAAGCGGAAAGAGCCATATATAAAATAAGAAACAATACAATAAATGAAATAGAAATTAATCCAGAGAAAATTAAGAACTGCTTTCAAAAATACTACAAAACATTATATTCCCAAACACAGACAAGCAGCGACAACCAGATCGATGCCTTTCTGGATCAGATTGATCTTCCGATGATTACTGACCAACAAAATGAGAAATTAATATCTAAAATAACAAAAGAAGAAATTAAATCAGCAATCAAGAGAACAAAAGGAGGGAAGTCTCCAGGGACCGATGGCTTTACCACAGAATGGTACAAAATTATGCAAGACCAACTAATTCCAACATTAATGAAAACGTTCAACTGGGTTCTGGAAAACAAAAACACCCCCCTCGTGGAGAGAAGCAATGATTACAGTCATACCTAAGGAAGGTAAAGATAAATTGGAATGTGGGAGTTATCGTCCCATAAGTCTGCTAAATAATGATTATAAACTTTTCACCTCCCTATTATCTAAAAGGATAGAAGTGATATTACCGATTTTAATACATAAGGACCAGACTGGCTTGTCAGACAAAGACAAACCCAAGACAATATTAGAAAACACTGCACATTACGAGACACGTCACACAGCAACGACAAGAGGCACTGATATTAAGTTTAGATGCAGAGAAAGCATTCGACTCAGTGAGGTGGTCCTTTTTATATAAAGTGCTTTCAAAATTTGGCTTCCACACAACTATAATTAACACATTTGCTGCGCTATACAATAAACCAACAGCCAGAATTAAAATCAATGGAGACTGGACCAATTCATTCAATTTGGAAAGAGGAACAAGACAAGGATGTTGTG